GCCACGGCACTCACTCTAGCCAGGGCAGTAAAGCGAGACTCTGTCTCAAAAAAAAAAAAAAAATTCACTCTGGTGGTTATCTCTGGGTGGTAAGGCAACTGTGAGGTATGGTGGAAGATGATACACCAAGGGCTTACCTCATGTCTTGAGGTATGGCTAGACATCTGGGTGATCATTTTTATTTTTTAAGCTACACATAAGCTTTAAACACTTTTAGGTAACAGAATTGCAATCATAGAAAACGAAATATGGAAGGGAAAAAAGAATTAGGTATAATTGTCAAGGTGGAGCTAATAAATGACAAGGGTAAAAAAGGGTGCCACCCATATTCAAGTTTCCTTCCTCGGTCATCCAATGCCTCTTCTGGTCTCCTTCATCAATCAATAAAGGCAGAATCGCTTCTGTTCTGTGATATCTTTAGGAAAAGAACATTCTTATCCAAGGTGTCCCTTATATCACTCCAAAGATTCATGGTCTTAACTTTCTTGATACAGGTTATTCTCACTAAAATGTCCACATCAAATTAAGTGTGTAGACACTTGTCCTTATCTTTCCACCTTACAAAGGGTGAGATGTTATCAAGAGAAACAGAAGTGAGACATACTGCTTTACCTGCATGTCACTTTTGGCAGTTTTCACAGCATCAAAGAGATCGTTGGCTGGTCGCTCTGACTCTTTCCAGCCATGACCACGTACCATTTGGGGCCCCTTCTTAGGATGTTTTGCCATCTAGTAAGTATAAAAACACCAAAAATATGAAAAAGAAAACGTGAAAGTGACGTTAACACTTGATCTTATCATTATTACATAGGTAGGCTTAAGCTGCCAATTCCACAGCAGAGTTTGAGTACTGACTGACTCAGAACTGAAATAACTGATTTTATGTTGTGAACTTTATTACTTCTTTTTTCCTTTTAAAAAGCCCTGAGTCCCGCTCCTGTACCTTTATATCCTAATTCCCTCTTCTCTTATTCTTTTCTCTTCAAAATTTGTCTTCTTCCTATTTCTGTCCCTTAATGCTCTGTAAAGTCCTGTCTTTCCATTAACCTTATCACCTGAGCCTCTTCCAGGTTTTCCTTTTGCCACTTCCCAGACCAGATTCAAAAACAAAACAAAACTAACTCACTGGGGCTGTTTTGAGTGGTCGTTTTGCTGTTCTCTTCACACTGCGTCTCAAGCTGTCTTCAAAGTCACTCCCTCCATCAGCAGACACAGAGTCACTATTCCTATGAAGTAGGTTCTCCTTAAATACAACCATCCCATTCCCTCTATGCAAAGGGTTAATGAATTATAATTTCTCTTTGTCTCTAACTGTACCCCATTCTCCATGAGAAAAACATACTCAGATTTTAAGAAAAGATGAGCTTACTGTTACTAGAAGTAAGGACAGCCTTAAAGGAAAACTCTCCCATGAAAACAATGGAGATGAAGAACTGAAGGGGTGAAGGACAACCCCTCCTAATATTCTCTCTGAATACGAGAATCAAATGATATTCAGTTAAGCAGGCAAAGAGGTCACTGCTCTATGTGGAAAAAAATAAGCATGAGTTGGGAAGTCATGTGTCACTCATGCATAAACAGGAGATTAATATGTACCTGGAAGTAAATTTCACCCCTCGAAACATAACTACATGTCTTATTAGAGTGAAGTTTATAACATGGATATAATCTGGTCCCCAGCAGTAGCACTAACTGAAACAAAAATGATTCCGAGAAGGCCAATTAAAATAACCAGGGGATAAAGCAGATCTTTTATGAGATTAGTTTTTGTCCTGGAAAGATAAAAAAACAAGATATATTATAACCTCCACAGAATAAACTCATATACGTTAATAGATAAGGATAGACACACCTGTTTACAAAATCCCCAAATAAGAGAACCAAAGGACACCAACTAAAAAGTATGTACAATTTGTCAGACAACAAAATAAGGGACTCTTTACTTCCCCATCGCCTACCTCCCAGCCCCAGCCAGAGGTTGTACATGCTGAACACAGAAATGTGTTCAAGAAAGGTTTAAACAAGATGACAGATGGATTCACAACAGGATATACTATTTTTAATGTCTACAACGTGTGGGGCTTGGAAAAAAAAAAACTGCAGGTTGTCGGGGGGGGGGTGTCAGTGTTCGGAACCAATCGCATTTCTCATGTTTTCATACAGTTCCACGCATATTACCCTCAATGCAGGAAAATGACAGAAGGGAAAGCTGCCGAGGACACAGGAGGTAGCTACACAATGCAACAACTTCTCTTCAACTCCACTCACCCCTCTGAAGCATGGTCTGAGTCCCTCTCATCACAGGGCAGATTGGCGGGGGAACTAGAAGGTGCAGGCAAGGCCCTCTGGACACCTCCCGCAACTCTCCGCAGTGGGGAGGACACACTGCTTGGGGAAGAGGAGCTATGGAGCCGGGAGGAGGAGGAGCGCAGGGTAGGCATGGCGATCCAGCTGGGAAAAGAGACAGGAAAAGGCTCCTACCCACCACTGGTCCACCCCTCGGCGCTGACCAGTCACTATCTTTCCAAGGGAACTACTCTGGAATGCGGGGGTGGGGGGAGGCCTGGGGGAGGGGAACCACCAAAAAATAAGACAAAGAGTTGACCTAAGGTATCAAGGGATTAAAAACACCACAGCCCCAGAAACAGGGCAGCGGGTTTGCTGTTGCTCTCCAAGAACCGAGGCATACACCAGGGCAGCTTCACACACACCCCTCTTTAGAGGCTTCCGAGGAGTAAATTGCCCGCCGCAAGGAAATCATTTGGCTCATGCACTAAAAAAAAAAAAAAAGAAAAAAGAAAAAAAAAAGGAAAAAAGGACTCCAGACTGTCATTTCTAGAAGGTTAGGGCTTGATTCCACATGGAATGGAATGGAACGCTCTGAATGATTTGGGGGTGGAGGCACCACTGGAACAGGGCTGGAAACGCTGAAGGAGTAACGGCAGGTGTGCGCTTCCTCTATTTTTCTAGAAGGTGCTATCTACGCCTGAGTGGGGCAAGCTTTTTTGAGCTGAGGAGCCTTCCAACCGCTTAGGAAAGTGAACTACCAGTCTCTCAGGGCCTGGGGCTGGGATTCTCGGGCTCTGGTGGGAAGGCCACTGAGGCAGGAACCCGGGAGGCTCCTAGTGCCAGGGCCGGCAGGGTGAGGGGAGAATGTATTCTTGGGTCAAAAAGGAGCCTCACTATCACAGCCCGGAAGAGCGACTTCTGGCAGAGCAGAGTTCAGGAAAGGTCACCGCTTCAGGTCCCTCAGGTGTCTGTGGTCATCCCACTTTCGGCACAGGCGCCCGCCGCTTCCCTTCCGGTGGCGGAAAAGCCCAGAAAAACGCGGGAAGGCACGAGGCACGCTGTGCGCAGGCTCAAACCCAACGGCTCTCCCCAGGGCTGGAAATTGTCGCGAGGTTTGGGAGTGTGGGAGCTCGTGCTCACCACGTTCCGGTCACACAGCCCCACAGCCTCGTGCGGCCGCGAGCTCCGGAGCGTGCGGTCCTGTCACATGGGCGAAGGCGCGCGGACCGCCAGCTTCAGCCGTGCTCCACCCTGGTCCCGTCCCCTCCACCCCCAATTTCCCTCTGCATTGAGCGGGTTTCGGACTAGACTAGCAGAAGTCCCCTCAATCTGGCTTCTCAACTGCTATAGGCTGGGTTTCACCTAGGCCCTGCCCTCTGAGTTGGATAGCCACGCCTTCCAAAAAAGACCACGCCCCGATTCCACCAACAACCTTGGTGCGGCTGTGTTCCGCCCCCCTGCGGAGCTTCCCCGCTACATTGGCTTAATTTCTCCGTTGGCCCCGCCCCTGAGGCCATCTCCTTATCATCATTGGCGGGGCCCCGACTTGGGCCCCGCCCCCTGTCCGGCTCCCGGCTCCCATTGTCTCGGCAGATGCCGCCTGGTCCAGCTATCGTGCTCGGTGTTCAGTTTTCGGGGGTCGCGCTCTTTCTCTGGCCCGCGGAGCGGTCCCGCGGCCGAAAACTGGATTCCCGAGTTTGGGCGGCTCTTCTTTCCTCTTTAGGACTCACTTTGCCGTCCCAGGGTGGCTGCAGCTATGTCCGCGCTGCGACCTCTCCTGCTTCTGCTGCTGCCTCTGTGTCCCGGTCCTGGTCCCGGACCCGGGAGCGAGGCAAAGGTCACCCGGAGTTGTGCAGAGACCCGGCAGGTGCTGGGGGCCCGGGGATATAGCTTAAACCTAATCCCTCCCGCCCTGATCTCAGGTGAGGAGAAAGAGGAAGATTAGAGAATTGGGGGTGGCGGGCGGGGGCGGGTCCTCCCCATCTCACAATAACTCTCTTTCCTTTCAGAGTGACCGTTATAATCATGTTTTCATCCTACAGTAATGTCTCTCCTCTTCCTGTAACTTCCTTACTAGGATCACAATAACCCTCCTGTGCACAGAATAGCTCTCTTACTCCGCGCCACCCACCCCCAGGAATCCCTTCCTCATAATTAGCATCCCCCTATGTGTTTCTTTCTTCACAGCCGTGTTCTCCTCGCTATTTCTATTAGCTCCTTCTATGATAATACTTTTCTTGCTCACCAAATAACCCCACCCCTCCAAATCCCATTCATCTTGTAGAAGCTGTCCTGCAAGTCCCTCGAGGCCTGGGTGTATGTTGGGGAGGGTCACCTGAGGACACTCTGACCACTAATTTTGCCTTCAGGGCAGTTGTCAAATAGGTGATCCCATGGCAAATGGGAGTGGAGTTGGGATGGATGAGGGGATAGAGTCAGGTGGGGATGAGGGGACAGACAATAGAAAAGAGACCAGACAAGTAGAAGAGAAGGAATAGCCCCCAGAGATAAGCAGGAGATGGAAGGAATTTCATATCACTTCCCACCATTCCTCCACATCTCCCTGTCCAGGTGAACACCTCCGGGTCTGTCCTCAGGAGTATACCTGCTGTTCCAGTGAGACAGAGCAGAGGCTGATCAGGGAGACTGAGGCCACCTTCCGAGGCCTGGTGGAGGACAGCGGCTCCTTCATGGTTCACACACTGGCTGTCCGGCACAGAAAATTTGACGGTGAGGACCTGGGCTCCCCAAACCTGGCTTCACACCTCTTCTCTGTGCTCATGACCCCAGCAAGCTTCCTGTCCTCACTCCATCACTAAGGCACTGTACCCCTTCCTAGCCCTGACTTAGCCCTTCATCCCTGCCCCAGACTCTCTCCAGGGCCCTGCGCTCCCTCATTCTCAGTTTCTGACTCACTTGTCTTTTCTCTTCTCTCCCATCCCCATCCCCTCCTGCCTCTGCCCTTTCACTTACCCTTCTTGGCCTCACCCTACCCTACACCTGTTTCCTGCATTTGCTGCAGAGTTTTTTCTGGAGATGCTTTCGGTAGCCCAGCACTCCCTGACCCAGCTCTTCTCCCACTCCTACGGCCGCCTGTATGCCCAGCATGCCCTCATATTCAATGGCCTGTTCTCTCGGCTGCGGGACTTCTATGGGGAATCTGGTGAGGGGTTGGATGACGCCCTGGCGGATTTCTGGGCACAGCTCCTGGAGAGAGTGTTCCCCCTGCTGCACCCACAGTACAGCTTCCCCCCTGACTACCTGCTCTGCCTCTCACGCCTCGCCTCCTCTACTGATGGCTCTCTGCAGCCCTTCGGGGACTCACCCCGCCGCCTCCGCCTGCAGGTGAGGGTTCCCAAGGCCTGAGCCTTCAGTCACCTCTGACCTGGTGACCTCTAAACGATGCATTACTCACCTCCAAATTAGTGTGCCCCAGTCACCCCTGACCTGGTGACACCCTCGACCCAACATTGCAGCCATCGCTGAACTGGTGACCCCTATCTCCAGCCTTCATCACCTCTTCCTGACCTAGCACTTCTTTAAGTGGACACCCTCCACTCCCCTTCTGTGCCCTATTTCACACAAACATTCACCTGCCCTTGGCCCCCAGCCACCTTTCTGCCAACTCCCCCGTAATCCTAACATCTTGACTTCCTCTGGTTCAACTGAACAGGAGTTAGGCATTTCATATTTAAGGGACATTTTCATTTATAGTATGGCATTTAACTGTCATCATAACTCTGCTAGGTAGATAACAGTATCCTTATTTTACAGATGAGAAAACTGAGCATTCAAGAAGCTAAGGTCTCATAGCCAGTATAAGTGGTAGAGCTGTGCCTCAAGCGCAGGTCTTCTGGCTTCAAGTTCAGTGTTAGTTCTGATGCACAATCTATCTCCAATCCCTGTACAACACAATCCCTCCATCTCCTCCCAAACCTAGTTCCCCTTAATCCTTCTAGACTATAATTCCTGTGGGCCTCTTGAACCTGCCTCTCTGTACCACCAGACACTCTCCCCACCTGGAGAAAATCCCATAATCCTAACCCCCACTGCTTGTCCCTTTGGTGCAATATCTTGGCCCCAGTCTTGAGTGACCCATGACAACCTTGTGGTTTTTCTCCCCTTCTTTCCTTTCCCCCAGATAACCCGGACCCTTGTGGCTGCCCGGGCCTTTGTCCAGGGCCTGGAGACTGGAAGAGAAGTGGTCACTGAGGCGCTTAAGGTTAGAGGAGGCCTGAGCGTGGGCAGGACCCAGGAAGGGAGAGGCAGAAGTGGGAGAGATCTCATGAGGAAGAGTCAGGCACCAGCTGGCAAGAGAGGTCTGCGGGCTGCCCATGTCAGCCTCCAGGCCCTGTCGTCCCAGGAAGGGGAGGGGAGCGGGGCTGGAGTGAAGTCTCCCCTGGGTCATGATCCATGGTTTCCTACCACCCCTGACCCTCCCCTGCCCTCTGATGACTCATAGTCCTCGCCAGTTCCCGAGGGCCTACTCATCTCCATAGCAATCCAGGATTGGAGTACTGGGCCCCCCTGGATCCCCCAGGGCCCCTCAATGACTCCCCTTCCCTGCTGCTGAAGTCCAGATGCCTGGCTGGGCCTTTCTCACCGTCCATCCTCTCCTGAGCTCCCAGCCCGACCTCTTGCCTCCTCACTGTCTCCTCCCTCCCCAGCTATCATGGGCTCACTCTCATCCTTGCATCTTGTCTCAGACCCCCCACTGCCTCTATTCTCTCAAGAAGCAGAGGCACCTAGGAACCTCTATCCTCAGATCTGTGGCAGTCTTATGGTCTCACCTGCTACCATGTCGGGTCACCAACTCTAGGCACTCACATCCAGCTCCCCAAACAGAGCCTGGGGAAGGTGGGGTTGGGTATTTGACTTCTCTCTGTGCCCAGCACCAAGCTTGGCTGAGAGCAGCCATGGGGTTTGTGGATGACAAGGCCCTGCTCTCTACCCCCAGGTGCCGGTGTTTGGAGGCTGCAGCCAGGCTCTGATGCGTCTGATCGGCTGCCCCCTTTGTCGGGGGGTCCCCTCACTTATGCCCTGCCAGGGCTTCTGCCTCAATGTGGTTCGTGGTTGTCTCAGCAACAGGGGACTGGAGCCTGACTGGGGCAGCTATCTGGGTGAGGGGATTCAAGAAAGCCTGGGATAGAGGAGGGTCCTGAGTATGGCTGGGTCCTGTGTGTAAGGGGCAGGTGGGGTGAGCTGGGCTAAGGACTCTAAGGTCATATCCAGGGGGAAGATGGTAGGGGGCTCTTCTGGTGTGAGTTCCCCTGAACACTTTGCTGCTTGTCTCTAAGGCCTGAGTGAGGATGTGTGGGAACATCCCAGTTCAGGATCACCCCTCATTCCACCGTTTCTATCCCTCCCCCTCCTTCTAGATGCTCTCCTGCTCCTGGCTGAAAAGCTCCAGGGCCCCTTTTCCTTTGAGCTGGCAGCTGAGTCTATTGGGGTGAAGATCTCAGAGGGTTTGATGTATCTGCAGGAAAACAGCGTGAAGGTGTCAGCCCAGGTACAGGGGAGGGAAGGGAGGAGGTGAAGCCTGGGGTAGGGGGACAGAGTGGGGGTGTCAGCCCAGGTTCAGGGGAGAGAAGAGCAGAGGTGAGGCCTGGGGTGGGGGGACAGTGTGGGTGGCAGGGAGACACGGTAGGGTATCTGGGGAGACTATGGGGTCAGACTGGGGACACAGGATGGGTTTCAATGCTGGGTGACCATGTTGTGAGGTCTTGTCCCTGTGCCGAAGGTGTTTCAGGAATGCGGCCCTCCCCACCCGGTCCCGGCCCGTAACCGCCGAGCCCCTGCGCCCCGGGAAGAGGCGGGCCGGCTGTGGACGTTGGTGGCCGAGGAGGAGCGGCCCACGACGGCAGCAGGCACCAACATGCACCGGCTGGTGAGTGGCGAGCACGGGCGGCGTGGGGGGCGAGGCAGAGCTGCGGTGGGGGTGCGCTCCAGCTCGCCCCGCTCTCTCGCTCGCCCAGGTATGGGAGCTCCGTGAGCGGCTGGCCAGGATGCGGGGCTTCTGGGCCCGGCTGTCCCTGACGGTGTGCGGAGACTCTCGCATGGCAGCGGACGTCTCGCAGGAGGCGGCGCCCTGCTGGACCGGAGCCGGGCGGGGCCGGTGAGGCGCGGCGGCAGGGCGGAGGCGGGGAGGGCGGGCCGCATGGGCGGGCGGGCGGAGCTTCGGGGCTGCTCTGCTCGCAGGTACTTGCCGCCCGTGGTCGGGGGCTCCCCGGCCGAGCAGCTTAGCAACCCCGAGATGCAGGTGGATGCCTCGGGCCCCGACGTGCCGACGCGGAGGCGGCGGCTGCAGCTCCGGGCAGCCACGGCCAAGATGAAGGCGGCCGCGCTTGGACACGACCTGGACGGGCTGGACTTGGGTGAGCCCCGCCCACTGCCTTTCGAGTCCCTCCTCTGGCTCGTAGTTCCCGCCCCTGCCTCTCTACTCCTAGCCTTCGTTCATTCACTCATTCATTTAGCAAGCGTTTATTGAGCGCTGACCTCAAAGGTAGATGGTAAAAGACCAATGAGGGGTTCTCTATACTTGAGTTTACGGTTCAGTGGGGGAGACCCGAAAACATTCTTACAGAACAGTGGGAAGCTTCTTATAATGGGCAAAAGGCAGTGGGAGAATGGGGGAGGGGCAACGGGGGGGGTGACATTGGGCTGGCTCCCCAAGGTGGAGTTTGCCAGAGAAGCAAGGCACAGACTCATTTTTTTCTCTCTCCTGTGTCTGTCTGTTTCTCTCTGTCACCCTCCCCCCACCCCTTTTCCTGGCTGCTCTCTGCTTCTTTGTACTTTTGCTTTTCTGTCTTTTCCTGTTTATCCTCTCTCCCCATCTGCCTGTGTCTCTCTTTTTCTCTCCTTGCTTTCCTGTCACTCACTGTCTTTCTCCCTCCTCCCAACCCCATGGCTCTACCTGCTTCTCTCTCTCCTGCCTTTCTTTCTCTGTTTTTATCTTGATTTCTCTTCCCCACTCCTGTTTGTCTCTGTCCCTCGCCCTTGTTGCAGATGAGGACGCCAGTGGCTCTGGAGCGGGACAGCAGTATGCAGATGACTGGATGGCGGGGGCAGCAGCTGTGGCCCCCCCAGTCCGGCCTCCTCGGCCTCCGTACCCTCCTCGAAGGGATGGTTCCGGGGGCAGAGGAGGTGGCAGTGTCCGCTACAATCAGGGCCGGAGCAGGAGTGAGGGGGTGTCTGTTGGTTTTCACACCCAACCCATCCTTGTTCTCTCCCTCTCAGCCCTAGCCCTGCTTGGACCTCGATAACAGGGGAGGGGTCCCCTAGCATCAGAAGGGTTCATGGCCCTTTCCCCTCCTTCCCCCTCAGCTGGGACTGGGGAGGAGTAGGAAGGGGCTACAGAGAGGGTGAAGGGACTTCGCAGGTGAATGGCTGGGGCCCCAAATCCAGGAGATTCCCATTGTGGGGTTGGGGGTGGGTGGGGGTTCACAATATTTATTTTTTCATTTGGTAACTGGGGAGGGAGGCTCTGGGGGTATTTATTTAGGAGGGAGTGTGGTCTCCTTAGAGAGTGTGGCCTCCAGCCCTCTAAGGCTGGGGCTGGTGATCAACCAACAAGGGAAAAAAGGGAGGAGTTTTAGAGTTGCAGTTGGGGGATGGGGCTTGAAGAAAGTTGGAAGTGGGGAGGGGTGGAACTCTAATGGGGTGGAGGCTCCTGGTCTCAAATGGACAAAGCCAGGCGCTGACAGGGTGCAGGGCAGGGGACTGGGGGGGGTGTGAGTAGGATGCGAGGTTCAGTGGGCCTGGGTTCTGTTGAGTTTTTTCAGTATCCATTTCTTAAACGAAAATAAAAAAATACCTCGTCTCATGACCTCTGTCATCCACATCGTTCACAAACTCCAAGTTTCATGTTTCAGTGTTTGAATCAGTGTTTATTCTGCAAATAAATGGTAATTTATTGGACCTTGTGTGTGGCTTTCTGTGCCTTCAGCATCAGTCCCTGACCTGGCTCCTAGCAGAGACCCCGGGGCCTCTGTGACTGGCTCAGTTTCTGCCTCTCTTGGAACCTGTCCCCTGGGCACAGTCTGGGGAGAGACCCCCCCAATCTCCAAGTTGCCCACCCTCAGGGGAGAATTGTAGGGACCAGTTAGGAACTATGTGAAAAACTGCCTTGTCACCTGCCAAATGCTCTTTGAACATAAGGTATTAGTAACATTACCACACCACTGCCCCTTCCTTCAGGGTGGGGGACCTTGTTCTCAGTGTGTCAGCCTCTGGCTACCTTGTCATGTCCTTGACAAGGTCTCCTTTCAACTCTTGTCTATCACTTTCTCTTTCCTTCTTTCTGATGCCTGAATGAATCTTTTGTTCTATAGAAAGCTGAGAGAAAAAGGTAGAATTGATTCCTGAGTTTGAAAGGAGGGTGGAAGTGGTGTCTTCCAAGAGCAGGCTGGGTGCCCGGAGGGAGCGGGCAAATGCAGGGAGGGGAAGACCGAAAGACGCGATGGAAGCCGGAGCAGCTGGTCGGTCGGGCTGGCGGGACAAAAGGAGAGGGGAGGAGCCTAGGCGCGGAGAAAGTTTGTGGAGAAAGTTGAGCTGAGCGAAGAGCCGGGCGGTGGCTGGGCAGGCGGGAGGGCCCTGCCGATTTCCCTGCTGCTCCCCTTGTGGCCTGGTGAGTGGGCAAAGGAAGCTGAGGCTGGGACCAGTGGAGCGACCCTCGAATTTATGGGAGGAGACTCGAGGGGCACATAGAATCCGGGGGTGGAGGCAACAAGACTAGCAGCAGACTGAGCAGTCACCAAAGCCGGAGGGGACAGAGGGCTGGGATGGGAGTAATGGGAAGAGGAAGATAGGTGGAAGGGAACGAAGAACTCTGCATGGGGCAGTCGCAGTGGATCCTGGGGGCTGTGCTGGGGGAGGGAATTGGGGAGTGATGCCAGAGGGGGCGGGTCTGGGTAGTAAATGTGGGTTCTCTCTGCCTGGGGTCACCTCTGTCAGAGAAGGGGGCTGTCTAGGCTTGTTGGAGGGGCCGTGGTCCGTGATTGGGAGTTATAATCTGAAGGGGCGGGGCCAGACTCCCAGTGGATTAGGAAGCTCCGTGTTTGTGTTTTTCTCCGTATCATCTTTGTGTCATAGAGTTTCTCTCTCTCTCCCTGTCTGGCCCCACCCTCTCAGTCTCCTCTGGGTGCACTGATTGGCACTGATTGGGTAGGAAAGTGGGATGGGGGTGTGTCCAGGATGCGGGTTTCTCTCACTCACTGGGGTCTGCCCCGTGCTGAGAGGGGAAAGAGATGCCTGAGTTTTCGCAGTGGCTCTTACGTCAAAGCCACTCCTGTAAGTCTAACCTCCCTTCCTCCTGCCAAGGTTCATCATCCTGTGTCCTTTCTGATCCTCCTCCCCTCCTTATAGCTTCCTCATCCCCGTTTGTGACAGCCAGAGGGGCTCAGGAGAAAGCCAAGGGCCTGGCCTCGATCTGACCTGTCATGACAAGCTGATGGGTCTGGTCTCTCTGGCTGGCTGTTTTATTCATGATCTGGGTCTCTGTCTCTCTTTTGCTTCCAACTCCCTGAGGCTCAGGGAGAACGATGGTGGGGGAGGGGTTTGGCGTTGGAGACAGGAAAGAGGCTGGCAGCGGAGTTAGTAGTTGTGGGGCCACCTAGAAGAGTCTGGGTGTCGACGGACCGTACCTCAACTGCTTCCCCTCCCTGAGTTAGGTCTCAGCTGCAACAGGACAGGAGGCTCTACCCCTCTCCTTAGACTCCCCTCCTTCCCCCTCATTTCCCTTCTAGACGCTGACAGAGGCAAAAATCTGCTAACTCAGGGGGCAGGCTCAAACAAGGCTGCAAGCAGGCCTGGGGAATGACCCCTCGATCTCCAACCGGCGCCTTCCGCGGCTGCAGGGCTGTCTCAAGCCATCTCTGCCTCTGTTCCCTGCCCTGGCTCTGTCCCTCTCTAGCCTCACCCTTCCCTGTGCCACATGGGCCCTCTGTCTCCTACCAGGATGATGCGGCTCTGGGGGCCTCGGAGCCTGGGGGTGGCTCTGGGAGTCTTCATGACCATCGGATTTGCCCTCCAGTTCTGGGGGGGGCCCTTCCAGAGGAGGTGAGTTCCCTTCTTGTCCCAGCTCCCTACACATGCCCCCCACTTGCTCCTTCCCATCCCACCTGGAGCTGTGACTCTCAGGACTCCATGCCCCTCTGGTCTTCTCTCCACAAGAAGCCAGTCCACTCGCTGCTGAGGAACAGGACACTCCCCCTCTGTCTCTTCCCAGGCTCCGACAGCCCTGGGCCCCATCCCCTCGACCAGCTGCTCAGTCCTGCCCACCCCGGCAGCGGCTTGTGTTCTTGAAGACGCATAAATCCGGGAGCAGCTCTGTGCTGAGCCTGCTGCATCGCTACGGGGACCGTCATGGGCTGCGCTTCGCCCTCCCTGCCCGCTACCAGTTCGGCTACCCGAGGCTTTTCCAGGCCTCTCGGGTCAAAGGCCACCGCCCCCAGGGTGGAGGCACCCAGTTCCCCTTCCACATCCTCTGTCATCACATGAGGTTCAACTTGAAAGAGGTGAGGGGTGTTGTGGGGGGTGGGCAGGGCTGGAAAGATATGGGCCTAGGCCTGGGGGCTCCCAGACATCACCTCACCCAAAAGTTGCACATCGGGGCCACAGGGTGGGATTTCCTGTTGCCCTCTCCTCAGGCGTCCCTTCCCGAGTAGTTTCTGGGAGCCAGAGTCCTTCTCTTTCCCACCTGGTGCTACCCCAGTCTCTTTCCTTGACCAATTTATTTCCTTGATGCCAACTCTGAGCCCCCAACTCTCCTTCCTGGTGCCGCTTGCCCTCCTCGGTGTCTCTTCCACTGCCACTACCAGGGCACCTGCTCCTCCACTGCCTCCTGACTTTTCTTCCTCTCATTCCCCCCCATATCTGCCAAATATTTCTTTTTGTTAATTTTTTATAGAGATGGGGTCTCGCTATTTTGCCTAGGCTGGTCTCGAATTCCTGGGCTCAAGCGATTCTCCCACCTTGACCTCCCAAAGTGCTGAGATTACAGGTGTGAGCTGCTGAACCTGGCCATCTGCCACATTTTGAGGATCAGCTATATGTCAAGCCCTAGGCTGAGCACAGCAGAATAGTTGAGTGGAAACCGAGTCTTGACCCCCAGGAGCCTCAGTTCTAATGGGGAGACCAGCACATGCTCATACAGACAAACAGAAGAACCTGAGAGCTCTTGTCAGAAGAAAATCAACGTGCAAATGAAAATATACAGGGAAGGAACTAACCTCTACTGAGTACTTACTGAGTGCTGGATACTAATCTTACCATCACCTTTCCAGGAAGGCATTGTAAGTGTCTCCGGTATACATATGAGGAGTTCAAGTCTCAGGGAGGCTGACTGGCCTCCTTCAACACACAGAAAATGGCAGAGCTAGGATCTGAACTCAGGTCCACGTACTCCAAAGTCAAGGCTCCTTCTGAGGCATGTGTATGTGTGTTTGTATCCAGAATGGTGTCCATTAAAAGAGATGGAGCTTTCTGGAGAGATGAGTTTTAAAGGAAAAAGTAGACATGGCTTTTTGGTAAGGAGAACATCAGGCATTCTTGGAGAAACATCAGCATAGGCATGGTTGTGTGTGTGTAAGAGGGGGAGTGTGTGCATCCATGGAAGAACTTCAGCAAGGGCTGCAAAGACACCCTCGTTGAAGCTGGAGGAGCGTGGGCATGATCCAGTGGGCACCAAGGGGCCACTGTTGGGAGTGAGGCAATGACAGTAGGTTTCCCCAAAGGCTAGAATGATGACCTTCATTGTCACCACCATTCATTGAATACCTACCATGTTCCAGGCACTTCCATATTCTTCCAGGTAAGTGTTAACCCAGATTTATAAACGGAGAACAAAGGCTCTGAAAAGTTCAATAGCATGCCCAAAGTCACACAATTAGTAAGTGGCAGAATTGGGATTTTATTCCAGGTCCATTGGATGCCAAAGTCTGTTGTCATCACTGTTTCCCTCTGCATTCAGGCTTTGCCTTTTAGGTGTGCCATATTTCTGGAGCAGACTGGAGAACAACATGACAGGGAAAGGTCAGATTCAATAATGGAAGTCATTTTCAGAGGCAGAAACCTTCCAGGGAGTCCAGGAGCTAGGTTCTGACGTGGATCTGCCTGCAGGGCATTGTTAAGGTGTTTGTCTTATTCCTTCCTTCCTTCTTGGGGAGAAGTGGAATCATACGTCCCAGCCCCCAGTGCAGCACCCTACCAAGTGGCCATGGCTCCCCAGAGCCCCAGTCCAGGGTGTCTTTTGCTCTCCAAGGTGCCCAGGAGCCTCTGAAGTGCCTTGCCCTTCAGCCTGCTGGGCCCGGCCTGCCCACCTGCTGCCTATATTTGAGACAGTCTTATCGTTGCCCCTTCTCTTCACTGTTTTCTGCCACTGACACCCACCTCCTCCTGCCTCGAGGTGGCCTAGGGCCAGTTGTTTTCTTAGAGCTGTAACTAAGAGCCCCAGAGTAGGTACTCAGTAGGGTTTTTTTGGAGAAGTGAGTACAGAGCCTGGTTCCTAGAGGTTTTACTGACCAAGACAGACAGAAAGTTCCAAGGAAATGAATGTTCTCCAGGAGATTCCCATGCTCCAGGTTTCCTTATATTCTTTATCTCATGGATCCTTCATAATCACCTGGGAAGGTATGATTATCCCCATTTACAGATAAGCAAACTGAGTCTCAGAGATGTTAAATAACTTGCCACACAGCAAGTGACAGAAGCTCCTAGCAGAGCTGTGAGAAGGAGGTTTGAGGACTCCGGGGATCACCAGGCACTTGGCTTGTGCTTACTTTCTTTTGGGCCCAGTTCTTTCTCCCTATGTCTGTCTTTTCTCCTCTGCAGGTACTTCAGGTCATGCCTTCTGACAGCTTCTTCTTTTCCATTGTCCGAGACCCCGCTGCTCTGGCCCGTTCTGCCTTCTCCTACTATAAATCCACCTCATCGGCCTTTCGCAAGTCACCATCCTTGGCTGCCTTCCTGGCCAATCCTCGAGCCTTCTACCGGCCTGGGGCCCGTGGGGACCACTACGCCCGCAACTTATTATGGTTTGACTTTGGCCTCCCCTTTCCTCCAGAGATGAGGGCCAAGAAAGGGAATCCTCTTCCCCCCAGAAACCCCAACCCCCCACAGATGCATATCTTGCCTTCTGGTGCTGGCCCTCGAGCCCAAGCCCTAGATCCCAATGCTCTCTTCCATCCTGTTTCCACTGTTGTTCATGGTCACATCCAGACAGCCAGCCCTGCCTCTTTAGATTTGGGGTCTTCGTCCTTCGTCCAGTGGAGCCTGGCCTGGCTGGACTCTGTCTTTGACCTGGTCTTGGTGGCTGAGTACTTTGATGAGTCATTAGTTCTGCTGGCAGATGCCTTGTGCTGGGATCTGGATGATGTGGTGGGCTTCATGCACAACGCCCAGGCTGGAGGCGAGCAGGGCCTCAGCTCTGTGGACAATGGCAGACTGACTGCTGAGGATCGGCAGCTGAACGCACGGGCTCGGGCCTGGAACAACCTGGACTGGGCTCTCTATGTTCACTTCAACCGCAGTCTGTGGGCTCGGATAGAGCAATATGGCCAGAGACGGCTGGAGAGAGCTGTGGCCGAGCTCCGGGCTCGCCGAGAGGCCCTGGCCAAACATTGTCTGGTAGGGGGTGAGGCTTTAGACCCCAAATACATCACTGACCGTCGGTTCCGCCCCTTCCAGTTTGGGTCAGCTAAGGTTTTGGGCTATGTACTTCGAAGTGGACTGAGCCCCCAAGACCAGGAGGAGTGTGAGCGCCTGGCTACCCCTGAGCTACAATACAAGGACAAGCTGGATGCCAAGCAATTCCCCCCTACAGCCCCACTGCCCCTCAAGACTTCACAGCTGCTCTCTCCATAGGCATCAGACTCTAGATTTAGGCCAAAGAACAGCTAAGTTACAAGGGCACATGTGATGAGTATGGGTCAGCTAGATGCCATTCTGCTTCCCTCAGAAGGGACAGGACTCTGCCCTGATGCAGGCCTCAAGTCTTCTGGCCTTGGACTTGGAATCCCAGTCATTGCGTTGCCAGCAGTGCTTCTCTCCTCCACCCATGTTATCCCTTCCCCTTTCCAGCTCCAAGGCAGGTCCTCGTAGCACTCTCCAAAGCTCCCTGGAGGGGCAAAAGATGGAGTGAGCCCGAGAGAGTTTAGGGCATGGCGAGTTGGAATGATACGTCCATTTCTCTATGAAATATTTGTTATTGGGCTATGTTCATTTCACTACGAAATGTTTGTTGAACGAATAAATAATTTGGAACTTCTCCTAGACTTATGTAGGACAGAAAACGGAAAGATGGAGAATATTCCTGGAAGAAGAGGGGTTGGAACGGGTCCTTTCAATATTTCTTCAAAAATCCGTCCGTGGTCTGAGCTCCATTCTTGCAGCACTCCACCCGCGCCGGACCCCGCCCCCTTCTCCGCGGTCCAGGCGCCCACAGATTCCGGGGCCGTGGAGGCCACGCCCCTCCCCTTCCGCTTCCGGTTTCTGGTCAGTCATTCGGTCCCGTATCCCGGTTCCGGCCCTGCCGGGTCTCGGTTTCGGGTTCGTTGCCCCAGTTCCTGGACCGGGCTGGTCTCTTAGGCAGACCCGGTCGCGCGCAGCATCCCCCGGGCGTCGGGACTCGCCCGACTCACCCTAGCGGGTCCCCTCGTCCTCCGCGGGCCCCGCCGGGGCTGGTGTCCGGTCCCGGGCGCACTGTCCTCGCCGCCCCATGGAGTCCCAGTGCGATTACTCGATGTACTTCCCGGCCGTGCCGCTGCCGCCGCGCGCGGAGTTGGCGGGGGACCCGGGCCGGTACCGGGCGCTGCCCCGGCGCAACCATTTGTACTTGGGGGAGACTGTCCGCTTCCTGCTGGTGCTGCGCTGCCGGGGCGGCGCAGGGTCCGGCGCTGGGGGCGGCCCGGGCTTGGGCTCCCGAGGGGCCTGGGCAGAACTGGCAACTGCCTTGGCCGCCCTGGCCTCGGTCAGCGCTGGAGGCGGGATGACGGGCGGGGGCACCAGCGACCAGGATTCCGAACCCCCAGGGGGTGGGGATCCTGGGGGTGGGGGGTTGTTTCGAGGCTGCAGCCCTCTTCTCACCCACGGCCCGGGCCCTGCTACCTCAGGGGGAGCGACCACGGTGAGGAGCTTGGGGTGACGCGGAGGGGCGGTTTGCTGGGTGCCGAAGACAGGATGGAGGTGGGCCCTGGGGACCTAAGGCAGGGGGCAGATGACTGCGGAGGAGAGGGGAGGACACCGGGGACCACGTACTGCAGATCTTAAAGGGAATGGCTGCAGGCTGCCTCTGACTCTCTACTGACTTCTTCACCCCTTTCACAACCCCAGCTGCCTGTGGAGGAACCGATTGTGTCCACAGATGAGGTCATCTTCCCACTCACTGTTTCACTGGACAGACTGCCCCCAGGGACACCTAAGGCCAAGGTAAGACCGGGAGAGGTGGAGCTGTTGTCCTAATTTAGACGCCTTTTCAAGGCTCAGCCACCTGTCTCTCCTGTTGACTGTGGTCCTGTGTCCCTCGAACCCAGATTGTAGTGACTGTGTGGAAGCGGGAGGTTGAGGCACCAGAGGTCAGAGATCAAGGCTACCTGAGATTGCTGCAGACTCGATCTCCTGGGGAGACCTTCCGGGGCGAGCAGAGTGCTTTCAAGGCCCAAGGTGGGGAGGAGAATGAATGCAGAGGGGAAAGACTAGAAACTGGGATTTGGGGGATCGAGTGGAGGGGTCATACTGGAAAGTGCCTTATGGGGGAGAAGAGGAAAATTAGCACTGTGGGTTGGAGGTGAGGACTGTGCCCCATCATCATTCCCCTCTCCCCTCTCTTGCAGTGAGCACCCTGCTGACTCTACTGCCCCCTCCGGTTCTGAAATGCCGGCAGTTCACTGTGGCTGGAAAACACTTGACTGTGCTCAAGGGTGAGCAGATCTGCCCGCTCAAGTCTTGGGTAGCAGCAAGGGAACTGACTGGATGGTAGTTACTCTGGGCAGGCTGGAGGGGACAGGTCCATTTTGGGAGGGTAAAGGTGGGTCCAGCTGAGAGGTCCAGCTACTTGGAACTGAGCTGGTTATCTCCAACAGTGCTGAATAGCTCCTCCCAGGAGGAAATCTCCATCTGGGATATCCGAATCCTTCCCAACTTCAATGCCAGTTATCTACCTGTCATGCCCGATGGCTCTGTGCTGCTGGTGGACAATGTCTGGTGAGGTCCTGGGAAGGGGCAGGGCTGTGAGGTGGTAGGGACGGGGGCAAGGGCTGAGCTCTGGCATGGGGAGATCATGACCTGTCCTCTTCTCCGAGCTAGTCACCAGTCTGGGGAGGTCTCCATGGGCTCCTTCTGCCGGCTCCCTGGTACCTCTGGCTGCTTCCCCTGCCCACTTAGTGCCCTGGAAGAACACAACTTCCTGTTTCAACTGAGAGCGGGTGAACAGCCCCCTCCAGGGGCCAAGGAGGTGAGCATAAGGGGCTGGTGTGTTCAAGGAAAAGGGATAAAGAAAGGCTGTGGGAAGGAAAGACTGGGGGGGTGACTAAAGACGGGAGAGGATCTCTACTACGTGTGACGTCTTCCTTTGTCCCTCCGGCAGGGCTTGGAAGTTCCTCTGATTGCTGTGGTTCAGTGGTCCACCCCAAAGCTGCCCTTCACCCAGAGCATCTACACCCACTACCGGTGAGTGTATGGGACCCCCTGCAGGTACTGCCTGTTCACCTCTGTTGCCTGACACACACATCCGGCTTCTCTCTCTCACTGCTCCTAGACTGCCCAGCGTCCGCCTGGACCGTCCGTGCTTTGTGATGACTGCTTCTTGTGAGTCCCCGGTTCGGACCTACGAGCGTTTCACTGTCACCTACACACTGCTGAACAATCTCCAAGACTTCCTTGCTGTGAGGCTCGTGTGGACCCCAGAGCACGCACAGGCTGGTAGGTCAGCTGCTGGGCTGGGACCTAGTCCCAAGGGAGAGAGGACAGTGGAAACAGCTCAAACCTGGTGTCAGCCCCACCACAGTGGGTGACTTAAGGCAGGCAGTTCAGCTCTGTACCTGGGTGGTCTTCATAGTGTCACAGATGGAGAGTTAAGAGAGGTAGTGAGACAGAGTGATTTTAAGGGCATAGACACTGGAGCTGCACTTTCTGGTATGCGTTCTACCTCTCTCATTTACTAGCTGTGTGACCTTGGGTAAGTTGCTTAACCTCCCTGGGCCTGGTGTTGTCATGCAGACTGATGAGCTGATACATATGAAGTGGTTACAACAGGCCTCAGCATGCAGTAAGCATTAGCTATTGTCATCTGTGCCACACAGCAAAAGATAACATTTGATCAGTTTGCTCCACAGAATGGCTCTGAGGACCAAATGAAGCTGTGCTCATGGAGGCCCTTGGGGAACTGAGGAACGCTGTAGTGTTTCCTGGTCCCTGTTTGTGCCCCCAGGCAAGCAGCTGTGTGAGGAGGAACGCCGGGCCATGCAGGCAGCCCTGGACTCCATCGTCTGCCACACGCCCCTCAACAACCTGGGCTTTTCCCGGAAGGGCAGCGCGCTCACCTTCAGTGTGGCCTTCCAGGCTCTGAGGACAGGACTCTTTGAGGTGGGCTGCAGAGGGTGTGGGCTGAGTGCTGGGTGATGCAGAATGTTAGGGGAGACGGCAGGACCCTTAGCTTCTGTGGATGAGACATAATGGTGGGGAGGGGGGACAGAAAAGCTGGGAGGAAGGAAGGGGGGGATTTAGGTGTGATATCGGTCAGTCAGATGGGGAAGGGGGTTTGAAAGGTCTGGGGCCTGGGAGCCAAGTGGGAATGCTGAGCTGTGCCTCCCACCCCAGCTGAGCCAGCACATGAAACTGAAGCTGCAGTTCACAGCCAGCGTGTCCCACCCTCCACCCGAGGCCCGTCCCCTCTCTCGCAAAAGCAGCCCCAGCAGCCCTGCCGTCCGGGACTTGGTGGAGAGGCACCAGGCTAGCCTGGGCCGCTCTCAGTCCTTCTCCCACCAGCAGCCTTCCCGCAGCCACCTCATGAGGTACAGAACTGGGGAGTGGGGGTCGGGGGTGGCACTGCACTGGGTAGAGGCTGGAACCAGGGAGCGAGCAGGGAGGGTGCTGGCTCTGATGGAGCCCACAGCCTCCGCCTTCTCCCAGGTCAGGCAGTGTGATGGAGCGCAGGGCCATCACGCCCCCTGTGGCCTCCCCTGTTGGCCGCCCCCTCTACCTGCCCCCCGACAAGGCTGTGCTCTCTCTGGACAAGATTGCCAAGCGCGAGTGCAAGGTCCTCGTGGTGGAGCCTGTCAAATAGTGCCGTGCCAGCTCTGCTCCCTCTTACACTCCAGAAACCGAAAACCCCTGGAAGGGGTCTTTGCTCCCAGGCTGTGCCTCCCTTGGGATGCCTCCCCCAGGGGTGAAGAGGCCCACCAGAGATGCCTGTCTGTGTCTGCTGATGAGGGATAAGGGAAGAAGCTGTGAAATGGGCAGGTATGGCTGCAGCACTAAGCCAACAGTATTTCCTCGATTTCCATGGGGGGGCTGGCCCCACCCCTAGGCCAGGGTAAAGGGCTCCAAGAGCTCCCTTGCCCGCCGCCCTTCACCCTGGTTCTAAGTTTACAAAGTATTTTCTTCATTCCTGTTTAGTCCTTTCCTGCCTCTGACATTCCCTCCCACCTACCTGCAGGGCTGAGGTTAGGGTGGTGATGGCAAAAGGCCTCGACAATGACCCTCCTGTCTCATGGGTCAGAGAGACAGCTAGGGGCCTCCTGCTGCCCCTGATGTTTACGTTTGCAGCCTGAAGCACTTTAAGTTGTATTTTTTTGTCTGTTCCTATAACTTATTCTCCAACTACTGCTTCCAACTGAAATGAGACTATTAAATGCCTGTTCAGGAGGGCGAAGAACGATTGCTGTTCATGTGTTAATGGAAGGAGCAGAGACCACTGGGGCTCAGGGTGTTTCCCTTCCCCACGCTTGCAGATGGCTCCCCTGCTAC